AGAAGAACTAATTTTGAGTTCTTTTAATGGATAATGGGAAGTCATGGCTTCCAATAGATATGGATTCCCTCACTCCGCCCTGCACAAACGTGGATCGTCTTGTGAATTTACCATTATACCCCTCTTCTAAGGCTTTTATTTATCTCTTTCTTTATTGTGTCATTATGTGTGGGATTTTTTTTAATAAATTTTTTTCCCCAAAATTTTGGTAAGAAAATAGTAGGGGTGTACATTCAACTCGACAACCCGTACCAACCCAACTCAAACTATAAGAGTTGGGTTGGATTAGCATTTTGGGTAGGGTTGGGTTCATTTTTTTGAACCCGAACTAAATTAGTTCAGTTTCGGGTTCATGGACAAAACCTTTGAGTTGACCCGAGCCAAATAAAATATATAAAATGTATTAAGAATTCCTCTGTATTAATGGGTTTGTTAGAGTGTTTCTGAGGTCAGTTCAAGAAAGTTTTTTTTTAATTGTTTATTTAATTTTATGATCTATGTATTTTTTGTTACTCGAATCTAAAAAAATGTCTATATTTAGTTGTTTTTTTGTTTGTCAATAATTATAGATTAATTTGTGTTTGTTTGTAAACAAAATGTAAGATTGTATCCGAATAATTATAAAGGGTAGATAAATAAAACTTTAAAAAAAAATTTGACAATCCAACCCGAACCTAACCCGAAAAACTCAACCCGAACTTAACCCAAAAATAGAGGGTTGAGTTGTAAAATGTTTCGGGTTGGGTTGGTCACCAATCCAACCAACCCGAACTTTTGGGTTGGTAAAAAAAAACTCCAACCCGAGCCATGTACACCTCTAAAAAATAGGAAATATGTGTGGTATAATTAAAATTGAGCTAAACATATATATATATATAATAACTAATTTAAGCATAATTCAATTGGTTAAGAACCATATTGTCACCAAATTTTCAGAGGATTATATTTGTTTAATTATTAAAACAAAAATCTATGGATAGATTGTGATGTACATTGATGTGAAAACGACGGTATGTATGAGGCAGTAAAAGATGTGTAGAGTCCAATGGGAGGGGTGTGGAGACGGGGAAGTCTTCACCATCCCTAACCTTATTTAGCTAAGGAAGAAAAGTGGACTCTCCATCTCATTTGGGGTGGGTCGAACTCACAGTTAACGGCTCCTATTTTTGTACTTTTCTCGTACGATCAAGCAATGATTTTTTATGATCATCAAGCAAGAAAGCAGTTAGATTATCCTAAAATCATCCAGCAAGAAAATGCTCTTACTCACTTAACTTTAACTTTGGTATGATTCACACTTTGACCCTTCTTTTACCTAAAGTATACAATGGATAAACGCAATTCACACTAAATAATTCGAAGAAGAGGATTCACAAAAATTTTACTGTAAATAAAGATTCGTTCGAGTCAAACCTTGAAAAGAACTCATATCAGATTACAAAATAAACGAAACAAAGTGGAATAATTCAATAACTACAAAATTAGAGATTAGTTCGAGCCAAATCTTGAAAAGAACTCAGATCAGATTGCAAAATAAACGAAACAAAGTGTAAAATAATTCGATTCTCTCTCTTAACTCAAAGGGTTATTTTTGAGTTTTTGATGGAGACCGACACTTAATTACCCTTTTAACTAAAAAAAATTATATTAATATCTTTAATTTTTTTTAAAAAAATTAAAAAATATCGTTAATATTTCCAGATCTTCTAATTTTTTAATTTTTTTTTATCAAAACTATAAAAATACAGCTTGAATACAATAAATTTTAATATCCAAATAGATAATTTGTTTTCAAATTAATTTTTTTCCAACTATATATAAATTTTTTTTAGAAATAATATTTTTAAGATATAAAATAGAATATATTTTTATTAATTTAACATAGTTTATATAATTACTATTTTCAGAAAATAGATAAAATTAGAGACAAAAAAAAACATTTTAAAAATAAAAATGAAAATATTAGCATTTAAAGGGTAAGGAATAATAAATGTAAGACATGGGTGGAGGGAAAATCTCCATTTTTAAAAATAATAAAAAATAAATAAATAAAAAAGAAGCTTACGCAGCTGATGAGACATGGCAGACGAAACGCTCACCTTCCCCATCTGCCCTCCTTTATTGGACGTTCCATTTCCTCTCATTCATTTCCTCTGCTCTGCTAAATTCCACTTTTCAACCCTTACCGGATCAGATCCCCCCGCCGCCCGCCCGCCATGGCTTCCGCCGCCGCCGTCGCCCCCAAATCCCCCTCTCTCCCATGGAAGACCCGCCTCCTCGTCTCCCTCTCCTCCGTCTGCAGCGACCTCGTCACTCGCCGCAACGGCACACTCAACCGCCGCCTCTTCCGCTTCTTCGATTTCAAATCCGCTCCTAATCCCGTCAAACCTATTCACGGCGTCCTCTCCTTCGACGTCATCGTCGATTCTTCTCGCAACCTCTCTGTTCGCGTCTTCACTCCTCGCTCTGACGCTCCCTCTCTTCCGATCCTCGTCTTCTTCCATGGCGGCGGCTTTGCCTTTCTCAGCAACGCCTCTTTCTCCTACGCCGCCGTCTGTCGTCGTCTCGCTCGTCGCATCCCTGCCGTCGTCCTCTCCGTCGATTACCGTCTCTCTCCAGAACACCGCTTCCCTTGCCAATACGACGACGGCTTCGACGTCCTCCGTTTTCTCGACCACGGAAACAACACTATCGGTCTCCTCCCTCCTAATGCCGATCTCTCCAAATGCTTCCTCGCTGGCGACAGCGCCGGCGCCAATCTAGCACATCACGTAGCCGTACGATTCTCCCGGCAGAAATCGCAGTTCCAGAAGGTCAAAATCATCGGATTAATATCGATTCAACCGTTCTTCGGCGGAGTAGAACGGATGGAATCCGAAACTCAATTAGATCCAGGATACATCGTTTCGCTTAAAAGAACAGATTGGCTATGGAGGGCGTTTTTACCGGAAGGATCGGATCGAGACCATTCTGCATCGAATGTGAGCGGGCCGAATGCGGAGGCGATTTCGGAATTAGAGGAATTCCCGGCGACGGTTGTGTTCGTAGCGGGATTCGATCCGTTGAAGGATCGGCAGAGGAGGTATCATGAATGGCTGAAGGAATCCGGAAAGAAAGTGGAATTGATAGAGTATCCGAACATGATCCATGCGTTTTACCTGTTTCCAGAGCTGCCGGAGAGTTCCGCCATGATCGATCAGGTGAGGAGCTTCGTCTTCAAATGTATGGAGGCATGAAAATGACATGTTCATTACGATCTTCACCGTTAAGATATTATTGTAGATGGCAGAGACTGACTTTATTAGCTCTGCCACATTTAAATCTTTTGTTTTTTTTTCTTAAAAAAAAAAAAGAAAAAACTTTAAATATTTATTTTTTTCTATTCTAGTGTTTGTAATTTTAGACCATAAATTATATTATGTTTTTAATAAATATTTAAAATATCTATGCTTACCTTTCTTATTATTATTTTGTCTTTTAGCATTATCAAAATTATTATTATTATTTTACTAATTTTAAGTTTTATTAAAATTAAAAAACTATATTTAAATATTTTAACTACATTATTAAAATGAATTAAATTTAAAGTATAGGGGTCCATATAAGAATTTAATCAAAATAAATACTAATAGAGAGAAATAATGAGTTAAAAGAAATAAAAATAAAAGATTAACTAATTAAAATAAATTTATATTATTTATACCTTATAAACGCTCTTATTTTATTAAAATTATATATTTTTAACGTTTTTTTTTCCATTTATTGTCTTTCCAAAATACTAAAACAAATATATAAATAATGGGTCTTTTTTGTTGTAGCATCAAAGTTGAGATGGCCGAGTTGGTCTAAGGTGTCAGATTAAGGTTCTTGTCCGAAAGGGCGTGGGTTCAAATCCCACTCTCAACAATTTGTTTTATTTTAAATTTTTGTATTTTTGTAAGGTTAAATCGAGAGACCGTGAGTTCAAATCTCACTCTCAACCATTTATTTTATTTTAATTTTTTTTAGGGTAAATCAATCTGACCACGACTATGGTGCCTAAGTGGTTCTACTATCCAACCACCGTACCATAAAAAGGAATCGTCCTTTACCAACGACATTGACACTCTTGAAAATGGACGCCTAATGCATGAGAGATTACGAAAAACCCCCTTTAATATGGAAACCAAGAGAGAAGGAGGTGAGGGGTAGTTTTGAGAAAAACAAGTTGAGGAGTAAACAAGAAGGAAACTTCGGAGCCTTGTAGTTCTCATCATCGAATATAGAGGATAATCTAATCAAGATAGATGATAGCTTCAAGCAAGGGAATTACTGATGGATAACTTTCTTATTGGTTAGGGGAAGTTCTTACGCTCTTCATTGTCATAATCCGCTTCCATCAACGATATCAATCAGTGCCAGTTGATAGCATGATTTTGATATCGATTTCAAAAACCCATCTAGAGGTTCTCCATTTTTCTTTGTTTCATCATGAACTTCTAGCTAATGAACATACTGATTAGAAACCATTCTCGTAATAGTGTACATACTCAAACCCTATTGAAATCCGTGTTAATATTTCGCTAAAGCCCCTAACTGAAGTTCTTAGGCTCTTCGTTGCCATAATCCGCTTCGATCAACGATATCAATCGGTGCCAATCGATAACGTGAAAACACTTCCTGACATTGAATTCAAAAACCCATCTAGAGATTCTCTCCATTTTCTTTGTTTCATCATGAACTTCTAGCCAACGAGCATACCGATTAAAAATTATTCTCACGACAATGCACATATTCAAGAAATCTATGTTAACATTTCGCTAAAACCCCTAACTGAAGTTCTTAGGCTCTTCGTTGCCATAATCCACTTCCATCAACAATATCAATCAGTGTCGATTGATATCATGAAAACACTTCTTGATATCGAATTCAAAAAACCGTCTAGAGATTCTCCACTCTCATTTGTGTTCATCATGAACTTCTAGCTAATGAAAACACCGATCAAAAATCATTCTCGTGACGATGCACAATGATTACTAAATCCCATAAATTTAAGAGCACATAGGTCAAGTAAATTAATGTTCGAGTTCATGAAGTCTTTAACATTGAGCACTCAAATTGAGAATACCTAGCGTGTATATATATCATCATCATCATCATGAATCAATGCAGAAAAGCATAGATAGCAGTGGAAATATAGACCAAAAGAGCAGAGGAAACCAGAACAACAAGCGCGGCGACAGCATGAACAGCCGATTTACTCCCACAGGACAGCATCCCAAGGCGAATTTGAATGACATTCACCATCGACAGCATCAGGAACAAGCAGCCCATCATGGATCCGAAGGCGGAGGCCAACATCCCAAATCTGAGCACCTTCAAATTGATGTGTGCCCTAAACGCCTCATCCACATCCTTACTGTTCAAAAGGTTAATCGCAAGCTTCAATCCCTGCGCCACAAGAGACGAGAACAGAAAAAAGCTAAACGACACCACCTCAAACACCAGAAGCTTCCGAGCAACATCAATGCCGGCGTCGCAGACCGAGGAATTCTCGAGACTATGCTGCCCTGGCGTTGTCAATGAAAGCCCTACAAACACCGCGATGGTGAAAAGCGAATTCACATTGACGAGTCCGTCGAGTGTCGTAACGTGGACGCTGGTGGTGGAGGAAGACGACGGCGAGGAGGCGGAGGCGATTCGGAATTCATCGCCTCTTCTCCGGCCATTCTGATTGTCTTTTGGATACGCCTCGGATCTGATCAGAAACAGAGGAAAATGAGATGAAAAAACGAAACGAAAAGAGAAAGAGATTGAGCTTACTTACTCTTCCATGGCGGAATCTGAGATGCGGTCGGAGAAGATTTTCCGGCAAGAAGGTTTGTTTTAGGGATTATTGGAAAACGCAAAAGAAAGAGATGCGTTTTGGAATCAGCTTTGATTCAGAGGTTACCGCTTTATTCTCATGATGTTTCTTGGTCCAAGAAAGGTCAAGTCAAGTCAACGCTAGTCGTGTGGGACCTGGTTCGTTACACGTTAAATTAATAAAAACATTTGAATTCTCCAAGTTTTAACGTAAAATCCGATTTCCTTTTCCAAAACGAAGAACAATTTCTTGAATTCCACAAGCGAGAGCGTCCGCAATCCCTAATTTTGTAACTTCAAGAACAGTTGAACATGATTTGTTGCCCTTACTTCACAATCAGTTCTCGCCGTCTAAAACTCATTTCGACGGCCTCACAGTTCGTCGGCAAGATTCTACGCCGTCGCATCCCTTGATCGTTTCAATCAGTGAAGGGGAAGAGATTTCAGTCATACTCTCAAGTTTCTGTTCATTTCATCTTCGATTTGGATGCAAAGCGCTCTCGACGGATTCGGGACTTCGATTCAGTGAGTTCTCATAATCTGTTTCTAGGTTTCCGTTTCGTCTTTTCTTTGTTTTGATTTACATTCTCTGGTTCTTCGCTGCTTGTTCTGAATATTTTGTTGTTCTTTGTTCCAAGTTCATGCCCTAAATTTGCTGCCAATGAATTTTCCCTGGAAGATTCTTGAGCTTGTGCTACATTTTCATTCTTTTACATAGTTGATTGATAATTTTACTGCTATCTGGTTAGAAACTGGGCTGCCACTTTCTATATTGGTTATGTTAATGAATGTGTTGCAGTGAATTTAGACGACGAAACAGGGCGAGCACACGACTCTATTGAGATTAACGGAGATGCAGCTGAAGGAAATTTGATTTTGGAGCCATATGTTGGTATGGAGTTTGATTCTGAAGATGCTGCAAGAAAATTTTATGTTGAATATGCGAGACAGATGGGGTTTGTCGTGCGAATTATGCAGCGACGTTGTTCGGGAATTGATGGAAGAACGTTAGCCCGGAGGCTTGGATGTAATAAACAAGGTTTCTCTCCGAATCGAAGAGGGATTTATGGATCAGATAAGAAACCACGGCCTAGTTCACGAGAGGGCTGCAAGGCAACAATTTTGGTGAAAATGGAGAAGTCTGGAAAATGGATTGTTTCAAGAATTGTGAAGGATCACAATCATCCCTTAGTTGTTTGTTCTAATGGTTTCAGCTGCTCGGTGAGTTATTCTGATTCTAGTATATTTTGTTTGTCCTTTTTTTATGACTATTTAGAATGAGGCACGGTAACTATAACAACTCAAGCCCACCGCTAGCAGATATTATCCTCTTTGGGCTTTTCCTTTCGGGTTTCCCTTCACGTATGCTTGGGAGAGGTTTCTACACCCTTGTAAGGAATGCTTTGTTCTCCTCCCCAACCAATGTGGGATTCACAATCCACCCCATTCGGGGTCCAGCATCCTTATTGGCACATTGCTCGATGTCTGGCTATGATACCATTTGTAACAGCCCAAGCCCACCGTTAGAGATATTGTCCTCTCCAATCATTGTATAGTTAGGAAATTCGGGTTCCTATTAAAAAGGATTTTGGCTCTAAGTTGTAGGATGAGTTTTCTCCGCCGTTCAACTATGCTTCGTAGTTGAAAAGGGTCTATGTTGACTTAGATGCTGTGATACCATGATACCATGCATTAAGTTCCGGTGCCCACTATCCTTGCTAGCACATTGCCCAGTGTCTGGCTATGATACCATTTGTAACAGTCCAAGCCCACCGTTAGCGATATTGTCCTCTCCAATCATTGTATAATTAGAAAATCTGGGTTCCTATTAAAAGGATTTCGGCTCTAAGTTGTAGGATGAGTTTTCTCCGCCGTTTAACTACGCTTCGTAGTTGAAAAAGGGTCTATGTTGACTTTGATGCTGTGATACCATGCATTAAGTTCCTTTATTTCTTTGTTTGAATCTATATAAAACTTCTCTTGGTTCTGAAAAAATGTGTAAGTTTTGCCTAAATCAATGAAAAATGTATGATTTCTTGGAAAGCATTTGGGAGAAACCTCTCTATTTAATGGAAGAGAATGGAGAGGAGTGATAGACTGCCTTATTAATGTGTACATTGGGAGATGGTTAGGGTCAGTCGAGTAAAGTCGTTAGCAGGTTGGACCCTATGATAGTAACTGACCTTGGCATGGAACACTGGTAGTGGCTAGAGCCATTTAGCATATTTCATGTATGTAGAGGGGTGGATTTATGGTAAGTGATCATCGAGAGGAGACACGCAGATCACTTTGGAGTGGAGTTGGAAGGAATGTGGTGAATTTGGGAAAAAGTATTGCGAGTAGAAAAAAGTAGTGGAGGAAAAAAGTAAGGCGGATGGCATACTGAGCTTAGCTCAGTTGGTATACTTTGTACCATCGATCAAAAGGTTAGAGGTTCCAATCTCCCTCCCATAAAGTGTTGGTTATGTGGTAACATTGAACACGGTAGAAGGTGGAGCAAATAGTGTAGGGTGTTACATAGTTAATGGATTAACACTTGTTTTTTATTTGCGTTTGAGAAAATTTGGTATTGATTTTGATTGAAGCCCAAACCCACTTCGAGGAGATATTGTCCTCTTTGGACTTTCTCTTCTGAACTTAGTAGAGAGAGGTTTCCACACCCTTATAAGAAATGCTTCATTTCCATCTCCAATCGATTGGGATCTCACAATCCACCTCTCTTGGAGGCTCAATGTCCTCGTTAGCATACTGCCCGGTGTCTGACTCTGATGCCATTTGTGACAATCCAAGCTCACCGCTAACAAATATTATCTGTTTTGGCCTGTTACGTATTGCCCTCAGCCTCACGGTTTTAAAATGCATCTACTAGAGAGAGGTTTCCACACCCATATAAGAAATGCTTCCTTCTCCTCTCCAACCCACGTGGGATCTCACACATTTGGAGGCTTGAGTGTCCTAAGTGATCTTTGGGGTGCGTCAAATTTGATTGGACATAGCTAATTAAATTTTGGGTAGGAGATTGGAGGATCTAAGTCTACTCTAATCTCAGGTATTACTCAAGAACGGTACAAAATATAGTTGAAGCTTATGATATTGGGAACTAAATCCTGTCATGGACTTTCAGATATAAAAATTTAACCTAGATATTATTAGATTAGATCTATTAGATCTGTTCTCTGTTCCATTTGAGGCTCACTGTCTGTATTCTGTAACATGTAGCCAATTGAATACATTGTTCGAGGATTATTGAAGGTGACTCCCACATTGGTTAATTTAGTAGAAGATCATAGGTTTATAAGTAAGGAATACATTTCCGTTGGTACGAGGCCTTTTGGGGAAGCCCAAACCAAAGCCATGAGAGCTTATGCTCAAAGTGGACAATATCATACCGTTGTGGAGAGTCGTGATTCCTAACATATATTTCCTTTACTTTTTAAACTTTGATGTTCTGGGTTTATTCAAATCTACGACGTATAAAGTGAATCGACATTGGTACTTGTAGGGTGATAAAGATAAGAAGATCGAGGAACTTAAAATGGAGTTGGAGCATCAAGAGCAACAATGCGTAGCATACCGGGAAAAGCTTTTCGATTTCATCTCAACGGTGGAGGAACAAACGGAAGAATTGTCTTCAAAAATACAAATGATCATCGGCAATGTAAGGCAAGTTGAATCTGGTATGCAAAAACATTATCCATTTCGACAATAGTAAATAAAACTTGAATATGCACAGAGTTGAAAATTTGAGTCTCAATGATGTTCTTGATTTAGTAATGTATAGCAGCCATTGATGCATTGATCTGAAGATAAGAGTATTGAAAGCATTATGATCTATGAATTTTGTTGCGTTTTCTGGTCTTGAATTTATGCTTTTTATTCATCGACGTTCGATTGAAGTTTATTCCTTTCCCTTACAATCCGCTAAACCTTATTTCAGGACGAGAAAGAAAGGAAACCCTAACATGTAAAAAAGTAACTTTGTTAGTCGAGTTTGATCACCTAGATTATCATACAAAGATCGAATCTAATATTAAAAAGGTAACAAAAGATTTAGTCTACGTAAAAGCATTTTAGGGTTTAGGGTTTAGGAGTCGGACCATTTCGTGCCTCTTCTTTCATTTCTTCGTCGTAATGAATCTTTTGTTCTTAGGCTGCGTCAACCGTTCTTTATTACCATAAAGAATTGAAAAGGAAAACGGTCCCCCTTGCTCGATCAGCCATTCTTTTTTAGTTCAAACAATTATAGGGTGAGAAATTAAATCATGAAAAAATGTCTATGTTTTCATTAGACATGAACTGACCTATCACGTTAAATTCTAACGTTTATAATTTATAGTAATTGAATTTTAATGGATATCAATATGAACATAGTTCAACTGATATAAACTTATTCACACGTTTTTATCTTTGAAGGTACCTATTATCGTTATAATAAATTAATTTCTACTGTTTTAACCTATAAATTTGTCCGAAAAAAGTTGGTAGGAAAAAATAAAAACAAAGAAAACCAAAATATGTAGGAGAGGAAGACGGACTAAAGTATTGTTTGTTTGACCAATTGTAACCTAACTCGATTAATTTCAAAGCTTGTTGGTTGAGTTTAGTAGACCATGACTTTAGTTAGTTAACCTAATCATAAAATATATTTACTTTATTTTATTTTAGTTAGGCAAATATGTCTATCACTAATAAACTTCTATCAAAATCGATACAATTTTTCACGTACATCAGCATACTATTAGACACGAAGTGAGGGAGAGAAATCAACAATGGGTTAGAGAGAAACTGGGAGAAATCGATGAAGGGGCGTGTGAGTCGAGAATGGTAATCAGGGTTAGAATCGAGAACGTGTAGAAATAAATCATTGACTGCAACGAGCGTCTAATGAACTGATGAACTAGTTAGCCTTTTTACATTCCTGAGTTGAAATCAAATTGTACCGTGCTTACAATTTCTTTGAACTTGTGTCATATCTGCCATTAATTTAGACCAAATTATTGTCGGTACTCTGAAAAAAAACTAGGGTTTCATGGGAGTGAACGAGCATATCACATCAAAATCGAACTTTATGCCACCACATC